CTCTGTAGAACTGCTCTCATTTCCCCCAGACAGCTTGGGTTATAGTGCAGCTAACCAGGGCATTGTAGGGACAAAAATGCTTCTGATCCCCAGGTGGAGCCAACACAGGAACATCCAGCAGTACAATGTGGTTTTAGAGATGAGCTTAAGGACTTTGCAGAGAAGCGTGAGTTTGGACATGTCGTTGGTAGTCACCATTATTTTTAAGCCAATAAAGTAACAAAAAAGGTGTTGAAATATAAAAATGCCAAGTGAGACAGGTTCAGAATGAGATCCCATTTAGCAGTGTTACACTGCAGATAGATGCCCATGGAGCAGGGGCTGTCAGCTGCTGGCGCTTCACTCGACAGCAAACTGAAAGATGAATGCCTGTGCTGTCTGATACTTATGGTGGAGTCATTGGGGATTACAGATGTATGAAGACAGACATGAAAAAATCAATATGATTTGGGGTACCAGAAGTTGCCACCACGTCATTAAAGTGATGCTCTGTGTCTCTCAGGAGGAAAAGACAACTTCAAGGTCACAGGAGACAGCTGTTCCATGCTGTGGTGTGATAGGTGATAACACATGTGAATTGCAGGAGCACAGGTGATAGCTCTTGATGTTTGATGGGTTCTTCAGAGCTCTGATAATTTGCAATGAGAAATGTTAAGGCTTCAGGATTTAACACAACTCAGACAAATAAATGCGTTCTCCAGTGAGGCTGATTTTGAGGAGAGGAATTTTATCCCAGGAGCGGCCTGAGTCTCCTGAAGGACTAGCTGATTGTTGTTGGCAAACTTGTGTCATAGTTTGGGTGTGCCTGTTTAGATGGTCTGTATTGCTTAGTTACAGAAAGGAAGACATGGTGATAAATCTTGAGGACAGGTTCTGCCCATCAGGGCTTTCTCAGACAGAACCCCTAAAAGGCATCAGAGATGGGACACAAAATACATCAGTGCTTCTGCAAGAAGGAGAAAGCAGTGAATTATCACTGAAAGTGGCCAGATCTTTCCTCAAATTCGTCTTATGGTTCCTTGCTCTCAGCACAGACATACATTATCAGAAACACTGGTATCAAGTGAATCATCTGTGTTGTTATATAGCAAATAGTTTTTGAGTAGCTAAAACAAGCTCTGTGCTGTGAGTCTAGTCAAACATATGTATGTCGACAATGATACATGATTACTGTTAAACTTTATAAATCGTGTGTAGTGAGGTAAATGAGCTAAAATCAGACTGAAGAAGTATGCACATTAAAAGTAAAATGGAAATGAAGAAGGCTAGAAGGGAGAGATACCTACGTTTTTGAGAGTGCATTAGAAGAGGCTGTTCTTGTGTAACATTTGAATTTGTGTAATGCGTCTCTGAGAACAGGGGATGGGAGATATTCCTTATTGGCACAGCTGTCTGGGCAGCGGGCTCAGTGAGGATGAGGAGCCTTGCTTTGATTGGAGAGAGGCAGTGGAGATAAAAGCCAGAACTGTTCTGAGCAGCTCCATTCTCAGGGAAGAAGCATGAGGTGCCCAGCCCCAGCAATACCCCAGTCCTTGTGTCCAGCTCAGACGTGGTGCATGGCAGGACAGCGGTGGGAAGGGATGGGTTTGGTAATGGAACTCTGCAGGGCAGAAGAGCTGCTGAATTCATCTTCGCTGCTGGTAGCTTGAAGATGCTGTGAAAGGAATCTGCAGCTAAAGGAGGACTAAAATTTCAGGTACACTTTGATATTTTTCCTTTGTGACACGTTTCAAGTGTGACCATTAAGCACGAAACCTTGACTAGTGTCAGCCTGACATTTTGTTCCCTGCCTGATGCTGCTGATGGAGTGGTGATGGGCAGATCCTGCTGCAAGGGATGGCTCATTGCTCAGGGAGCAGGGGGACTCTCTTTCACAGAGAATGGCATCTCACACCAGGGTTATGGGCTCTCAAAAGTTGGAAAAACTTTTCTATGAACTTGGGAGAATGGATGAGACTGAAGGATGTCTGCTCCAGCTGATGTGAGCCAGTGGTCTTCCAGCAATTGTTTGGACTGGCTGACGGGAAGATGGCCAGTGGCTTAGCTGGCCATATCAAGAATGACTTCAGAGAGATGCTAATTTTTCTTATGCATGTCACCCACAAGTTGAAGAAACTGATGTTTTTTCAACTTGTATTGAATCCCATCAATCACATCAGTTTATCACATTAAGGTGATAAACTTTGGGAGGACTGAAGGTGCCCATCAGCTACTGGAGGTGCTTGGAAGGTTGAGCATAGTTCTCAGCTGATGCAGTTGGGTTGTGAGATTTTGCATCCCCTGAGGAACATAATCTGCAGTGAGGGAAGGCAGATAAATACAGTGTGCCTGTAAGCATGTGGCTGGTGGTTGGTCATAAGATGGGAACTCATCTAGGACTGTCACTACTGGCATTTAACTGGGCAGGAACCTTAATCCAACATAAATTGTTATGAGGCTTTCAATTCCCTCAAATTAAGGCTTCAGCAGTAAGTTTCTTTCAAAAGACAGGAGGATTTCCTGGTGCTGCAGTGTGTGATGTATTATTTGTCTGCCCTTATGATTCAATTTTCTGTGTGCTGCTTAACTGCTGTGAGGAGCAAGGGGAAGCAGTTTGGTGTGGGAGAGCTGCTGCAGAGCAGGTTGTGCTCAGGCACCCCGGGAGCCCAGCTGGGGCTGGCAGAGACAAAGCCTGAGTTTGGCTCGCTCATGGAGCTGCTGCCCTGGGGGTGGCAGCAGGGTCCCTGCAGCAAGGAGGCTCCAGGGCACCCGGGTGACAGCCTGGGGAGCTCCTCCATCCACCCCATAAAGCAGGTGTGCAGGGGCAGGGCTGCTGCTGTCTCCCTCAGCACCCCAGCAGTCCCAGGTTTGGGTTTTCTCTGAGCTTCACCTGCTCCAGCAGATCCAGGAGTGGATGTTACTGCAAACCATCTGTGCCCCTACAGCTCTGTGGGGCTCTGGATCTTGGTCTGGCTGCTCATTCAGGGTTCATTGTCACAGTCCTGTCTTGCGGTTTTGTACTGGGTATTTTAATGTAAAACATCAAGTTTGTATTAAAAAAAAAAATTCCTCCCTCTCCCCACACTGTGCTCTTCTAAAACGTTAAGATGTGTTCAGGTTCTTCTAATTTTCTGTTAGATTTCTGAGCATCTCTTAGGATGCATTAAAGGTGGTGTCTGCAGATTTTATGTTGCCACCATGAAAGAGACAAAACTTCTTTTGAGATAAAGGAGATTCTGATATAATAGCAGAATTTACAGATTGAATCCTTAAGGAAAAGAAACAAAGTAGTGGTGCACTGTAGGAGGAATATGGAGGAAATATTTTTCCTGTTGTAGTAGGAGTGATTAATTTTAATTGTAGGTCTTGTACCGTGCCAGTTGCAGACAATCAATTTTTTATCAAATAATATAGAATGTGTTGCCAAATTATATATGCTAATTGATTATGAGCTTGTGTGTAATGTACTATTAAATTTTATTTTTAGCCTGGACTGTGCGTGCCTGTGTTCTGCTGCATGGTCTGAACCAAATTTCATGGTGGTAGGTGTGTCCAAGGGAATTTCATTTCTGTAATTGTGGAGAGGGGGCTGGTGTCTGCCTGGGGCAGGCACAAACTCACTGCTCCCACGGGTGGGAAGGCTGCAGCATCCTGGGTGTGCTGGGCATCCCATCCAGTGCTGCCACCTGAGGGGGGAGTGGGGCTGTGAGGAGGAGTTTGAGCTGATGAACCAGCTGAGGTTGTGTTGGAAACTGGAGGGAAGCATCCAGGGAGCATCCATACACATCCAGGCTTCAGTACATCCATGAGACACCTCCTTAATTAGGTAAAGCCATAAAGGAAATAAAGATTTACATTTTTCTCTCTGATGGGATGGTACTTGAGTTAATTGCTTCTAAAATGAGACCATAACTTTTAGCAAGGAGGATGGGTAGCTACTGTTCAGATTTCATTTTGATAATTTTCTTAATACTTTGTTTTATATCAGAAACCCAGTTTGAGATTCAAGAGGCCATTTTTATGTTTGAGGCACTGGAACACTGAGAAGTCATGCTAAACAAATGTGTGAACTTGATTTCTGATGCATTTTTTCCTTCCATCTTTGCACTTTGCTGCAATACATGTGTGTTTTCTTGCTGTGATGTTTCTGAGAGGCTGTGGGAAATGGGATTATTAATAAACACATTCAGTAAGTACATTAATGAGTGTATTTTATGTATATGACTGCACATCTGCATACATTACATGCTCCAGGGCTTTATCCAGAAAGGCAGTTTTCCTTCTGGAAATAAAGTGAGACAAGTTTTAACCAAGGAATTTGTTTTAAGTGGATTAGGTCACTGAAAAATTTCATTTGAGTTCAGTGATGGCAGACTCAGGTCCAGTATTGTAATACTTCATATCAAATGGCATAAATTCCTTTGATACAGGATTTATCTAGTGCTCTTGTAGTCTTTTAAAGAAAGATTTAGAGAGAGCTTTTAATTCATACTGATTTTCTTTCTTAAAAGAAGTTGATTTTTTGTCATGAAAAATTCATATATATTACACTAATTAAGAAGTGCATGCACCAGATCTGTCTAGACATAATTTTTGTAGGTTTTTTCTCCTTCCTCTTCCACCTCTCCTCTAGTGCAGACTTTTGAACTGGTTCCTTTCAGGAGGGAGTCACTTCTTTACAAAAGCTTAGGTGTTTGCACAGGCTGGGCTTTTAAAAAACATTTTTAAACCATCCTATTATTTTTCATATCCTATAGCAATATATAATGGCTTTTATTAGGATGGTTACAATGTCTTTTTAAATCCCCAAATAACACTTGGCATGTCAGGATTATATATAAGCATAACCTTTTTTTTGAGCGTGTCTGGAAATCACAAGGAGCCTGATGGACGCTTATTTTTCACAGGCTGCTGTTCTAACCCCCCTAAGGCAATCAGGAGAGAGCTTGCAGTAGTGTATGTAATGTGAATAATTTTGGATACATTTCTTTTTCATTTCTCTAAGATGCCTGTAAGAGTCTGGCTTCTGGAGCTTCTCATCACCTGCTTTCTGCAATCCCAGCCCATTTGCTGTGTCTTGTAAGGAGCACCTGAAATCACTGGTCACATTTGAGGGTAGTCCTAAAAAGGTTAGAATGATTTTTCTTTTTTTCCCCCCAGTTATTTTTTCCCATCCGTCAGAACTCATACTGCTGTATTGGAATGGAAATGTACAGAAGAGACAGGGTTCACTGCTTACAAACCTGTTTGTTTGTTAATTTGGTACTTTAAAATTCAAATTTATAGCTATAAACGATTCTTAACTGCAAGAAGAATTTACATAAATACACAATTTCTTATTTCCCTACTCTTAACACTTTCAAAGCAAAGTGAGATCCATGTTTAAAGTACACATCATAGCTTCAGTAGAAGTTTTGGCATGGATACATGTATTTTCAGGATGGGTCTTTGGTCTGTTTAATGCAGGAAGCGAGACTGGATGTGCACAGTGATCTCCTTAAACTGTGTCAGTGTTTATTACAGAAAATAAAATCACAAATTTTGGGGGAAAACAAGCCCTCTATTTGTTCAAAAGTTAATTAAACAGTAGCAAACAGCCTTTGAATGGGTTTTGAATTTACAGAAACTTTATTAGAATGGAAACAGGCATGGATGTTGAGCAGATTCTGGTGGGTGTGTTTGAGGAGTTGTTAAGGTACAGACTTGCATGAGGGTACTTAGAGCAGTGTATATGTCCAAAAGCAGAAAGAGTTATACTGCTGTAACTTCATTCCTAATTAACCTGTTTTCTTAGAATATTATGTTTATTTTTAGCTCTGAGAGCAACTCCTGTTTCTTCTCTGATGAGAAATGCTATGTGAGACAAAAGGGAAAGTTGACTTTTGACATATTTCTCTCTGCAAGTTGTTTTCCATTAATAAACAATGATATTTAATATAGCAAATGTGTGAAGGGAGGAAACGAGCAGTGTTTTCCCTGTGTTCCAGTGTCTGTATCTCAGTTTGGGTGCATAAGTGTGCACTGAAATTCCACAAAAATGGAAACATTTGTTCTGTCTCAGCTCACGGATTGTGTTAAGGTTCGGTGTTTGCTGGTGGAGTGTGCAGGGCACGGCAAGATCGTGTTAGGCTGCCAAGAGATAACAAAACCACACAGGTAAATGTTTAGGAGATTCACTGGAGCTGGTACATGACTATTTACAGGCACTTCCATCCCTGAGAGGCCTTGAGAGGTTTCATCTCAAGTGATGCTCCTTACAGAGCGTCAGAGTCCTGATGCAGAGAGCTTCCCTTGCCTGGAGCAATGCTCTGGGGGTCTTGGTGCCTCTCTGTACCACTTCAGCAATCTGACAAACTGGCCTCAGAATGAGATGGCTTTGCAAAGTCTCATTCTGATGCTGGCACAAGTCCTGTTAAGAGATGGAATCATTTCCCAGGGTCATCATTCAAATAGCAATTGGCCTAATCCAGAAAAAGAGGAGAAAAAGTCCTTTTTTCTTGTTGGGGTAGGATAGGCTATCAGTGTCTCTGTAATGTTCCCTCATGGATTAAGTGCTGCTCCTCTGTAGATACACCAGACATCAATCTTGCCAGCAAAGAAGAGAAGCACCTCTGAGCTGGCCATCAGTTCCTGGGTATATGCTATCATCATTTCACTCTGGGGAGATGTGACATCTGTCACTTGTTCCTGTGGGATTTGGGGACTATTGAGTGTTGAGAGTGACAGCTGCTTCAGTGAGCCTGGCAGCATTGATCTGAGCCTGGAGAGTCCTCATGGCTTTGCTGAGGTGACCTTCTCCCAGGGTGGGCTTTGCAAAGGGATCTGCAGCTTCTCTACGTTCTGTGTCGTTCTGAACCTGCCTTTTCTTCTCCCTGGTGCTGACAGCTCGTTCATCTGGAGGTAGGGCACACATTGATATTCCAGTGCAGCTCTTCAGCTGCTGGAGGTGTTGGCACATCACAGGGATCTGTGGGAAACCCTCCCTTTTGTGTGTGTGTGTGTCTGTGGGTTGCAGCCTTGCCCACGGAGCCACTGGCACCAGCCAGATCCCGCATGTGCATCCTGCACCCTCATCCTTGGCAGGAGCTTACAGCACTGACAAACCTCCTCAAGTGGTTCCCTAAAAGCATTTTTTTTAAGCTCCTCCCAAATAAATTCCTTAAGATTAAAAATATATGGCTTGTAATAATGTCTCTATCTATTTTGTATGAGGTGGTGCATAGCTCTATCTGCCTGCTAAATGCTGCATATTGTTTAAAGCCTGTCTTGTGCTTTTTCTTATTGATTAATCTAAAATACAAATTTACAATTGATTCTCGAGTCTTGGATGCTGCTGAAAACCTCTGCTAGGAATAGATTTATATAGATGATATTCACTGCTGTTTCCAGCACATGGAAATATACTGAAGCACTATTTTTAGATGTTTTATATGCAGTCAAAAGCTTTTTGCTCACCCTCTCTCCTGTACTTTTATTTCTTGCAGTTTGGAGAGTTTTGGATTAAAATAAAGGGAAAATTAGGAACAACAATCAATTTACCCTTAGCCTTACAGTCCCTTATTACAATTGCTAATTTATCAGTGGGTAGGTACCTCTCTTTTGTAATGGATATTGAGGATAATTTTAAATGCAACTCTTAAGCTTAACCAATTTACATAGTACTCTGGGAGATTAGTCGCTTCTGCATAAAGAGCTGTGTGCATTCCAGGGGTGTTCTGGAGCCCTCTTGTGTGGTTTTTTTGAATGTTTGTTGTAATAATAATTGATTTCCTTAGCAAGGTGTTGACCTCTAAGTAAGTATTGCAGATTGAAGCAGTAAAACTTTGGAAAATTGCTTGGAAGTTTTTGGTTGGAGCAGTTTTTCTCAACTGACAATTGTGTTGTGTTTGAAAGATGGGGTTGGGGGTCCAGGAAAACTGTTGGATTTTATGTTCTGTGCAGGCTATTTCCAGTCTTCGGAGTTTGGGGTTCCATGGCTCTGGTTTGCTGTTATTTTGTGGTTTTTTTCTACCATCAAATGATTTTCAGTGAAACAGAAGCTGCATTTTCCTCTCTTCTGTCCTTCCCTTCTATCTCTGTATATTTACTTTCCTTGTTTTTTAAAGCCATTAACATCGCTAGCATCAGGACGGAAAATGTGAGAGCCACTAAATAGGATTATGTTAAAATGATGATTTAATTGAGCTCTTACACAGGATAAGAAGATTGTCTTGTTTTGCTGAACTGCAGTTTATGGAGGTCCTTGGCAAGAGGAAGCCAAGTTGCTTTGGGCATTCATTAGCACCAAATCCAAATCACTGCTAAATTTGTTTAGCAGGAAAAGTCACAAATAGAGGAAAAGCAGAGCCCATGATTTTAAGTGTATTTATATTTGCAAATATGTGTTTTCCTGCAATTCAGAGGAAATGCTTCCCACAGGACAAAAATTCTTGGGGTTTTTTTCCCCCTTTCTCTTGGAGTTGAAATGATCCTATGAAACATTTGCTGGCATGACAAAATCCCACTCTTGAAAGTAGGACAGGAGACATTTTCCACTTTCTACAGATCAATCTTTTTGTATAACTCAAAGCAATTGCAGTCCTTTAAAAAAGGACTCAGGTACTGAGCAAAAATTACATAGTAAGTGGAGTTTAACTCTAGTTGTAACCCAGTTCCCTGCTAGTTTTACCACATAAAGAAAAAAGTATCCATAGAATTATGACCCAGCTCTTGTACCAACTCTGCCAAATATTGCCTGGCAGGCCAATTTTTAAAGAAATGCTCAGGGCTTGCAATATATTTATTTCTGCCATTTAAATTCTAATTTAATTTTAGATTTGTTTATGTAATCAGATATTGGATTACTGCTGCTATCAAGTCCTGTATTTAGTTCAGACTCCCATCTTTCTGAAGGAAGAAAATGCTGCAGGAATGTAAAATAGTTCAAATAATGTGGAATTCAAGCCTTTGGGAGTAGATGCAGCTTTTAATACTGAGAGCATTTGTAAAAGAAGTCCTAAATACTTTCAGTTAGCAAGACCATTTTATTCAGGTATAAGTACAGCTTTTTCACTGCAGAAGCTGTTAATTTCTCTTAGTGTGAACCCACAAAGAGAGCTTCTGCCAGCACTGATTTTTCCAGAAGGTTGGCTCAAATTTTATTTAAATTCTGAAACACATAGAAGGGAAGGCTGGAGTCTGGTAAACATCCATCTGGGTGTGCTTTTACAGAAGGCTTTATGCATTAATTGACTTATTAATGCAGCTAGAGGGGAAAAGTGTAAAAAATGAGCAGGGAAACCTGCAAAAGCCTGATGGGTTTACCTTGGCTAGTGTGACAGATGTGTTTTTGAACATCTGTCTGCTGTAACCATCCCAAACTTCAGTGGACAAAGTGCCAGTAAAGTATGGATAATTGGAACTGAGGAATTTCAGCAGGTTCCTCCTACTGCTGGGTTCCTAAAATACCCCTGTAGGCCCGTCTTGGCACTGGAGTTGTTTTCCATCCTTCTCCTGAAACAGTGTTTTATATGGCTTGCTTACAGGTGTGCCCTGTAGGACTGAATATATATAGTTATATATGTTATATATATGGTATATGTATAAAATATATCTGCTTTACTTTGCTGTTAAGGCTGAGATGCAGCTTTAAATCAAAAGTAGCCAGTGAACATTACTAATTTCTCTAGCAGCATTTATTGCATAGGCCATGTCTATTCTTCCTTTAACCAGATGGAATCTAGTCCGTACTGTGCTTATCAAATTTTAAGTTATTTAACCCCATATATTTAAGTAAAAAAGCCTTTTTTTTTAGTGGTGCACATAGCTGCTAAGAGTGAAGTAAATAACATTTTCTGTAATTGCAGTTATTGGATTTATAGGTACTTTCTGCCTGTTTCAAAGAGAAGGATGAGTAAGGCTTTAAGAGAGGGTTGAAAGCAAGTGTGATGAATAGATAAAAGCAAAAGAAGTCAAAGATAGATTTAAATTGTATTTTAATATAGACTTTAGTAATATGGTAAAAATAGATATAATCACGAAACCTGACTATCTTATTACATTCCTGCAAGGCAACCTTAATTCCAGGATTTCTTAAATGCTGATTATTTGTAACTGTAAAATTGCTATAGTATCCTCTTTTGGATATAAT